TTACATGGGCAGGATAATGCGTACATTTCTTACCAAGCATTGCAGCCTCCTCCTTTGTTTACCCTTCACATCCCTTCCCAGCCTCCCCCCTTCCCCAAGTAATATTATCTTAACATGCTAGTCAAATGTGGAAACATTATTTTTTTAATGTGAAAAGGATGCTCAGAAGGATGATATCACTTGCCTTAGCTTCTCTGCTTAGGTGATATCAGCTATATTCCCACAATAGACTTATTTAAGTCTAAGTTTCTTTCTAATGAATATCTAGGGGTCTACTGGGTTTTGAGTAACTGGTTATTTTCTCTTATCTTCAAGATAGTAGGAGGCCCCCAAGAGGATATGTCATGCAGCTCTGCCTGGTAATCTGACCCTCTTCCACAAAACTATAGGATTTTGGCCTGCAATTCAGGCAACTGCCACCAGATGGAAGGAGTGATCTGTTAAAGAATAAAACAAACATTAACTTGGCAAATACTGATCAGAAATTGACATTGCTGTTCACAGTGTAGAGGGGTTGGGAATTACGTAGATGATGCCCTATTCATTAGTATTTCTGTGTCCATCATCAGCTTGATTATTGTCTTAACACTGTTCCTGTTTTTGTTGTTGGTCATGGGGCTTAACCTCACGGCCTGGGCACTTGAGCTCTTTCACTAAAGGCTAATGCTCTGCCACTTTGAGGCATAGCTCCACTTCTGGTTTTCTGGTGGTTAATTGGAGATAAAGAGTCCCACTGACTTCCCTTCCCTGCTCTGACGTTGAACCCTGATCCTCAGATCTCAGCCTCCTGAGTAGCTAAAATTACAGGCATGAGCCAGCAGCACCTGGCAACACTATTCCTTTTATATTGCTATCTTTTGTCTGAAAAAGTTTTCTAGTGTTTTCAAACTCCTTTGGCTAGGTAAGAAGTCTTTTTTGCTTGTTTGGGTTTTTTGGAGACATGATCTCAGTATATATATATAATCTAGGCTAGCCTCAACTTCATCATTCTCTGACCTTGGCCTCCCACTGAACTCAGCATGACAGGTGATCGATCATCTTTTGAGGAGACATTTTATTTTCAGAAACAGTCTCAAGTCTGTTAGAGCTAAGGTTGGGGAGTCCACTAAGAGAGAGTATTTGATGGAAGGAAGGACACTGGTACCTAGTATCAGAAATAAACACTTGAAAGCACTTGCTAAAGAGAAATCAGACACATGAACAAATGACAGCAGGACTTAAATAAGTTTACTTTGAAGGATGGCACTTATCTGAAAATTCTAGTTCTGGTAATTTTGCCCGAAAATATTTTGGTATTTGAGACATACTTGGTGACATTTAACTGCCTAAGGAATTCCTACCATGCGTTTTTTCATTTGTTTGTTTTTAATATTCCTCCAATTAAATGTTCCTTTAGGAAAAAGCTTGTTCTTTTTACCATCATCAACAATGCCATCTTTGCATGTAATAGATGCTTAACAATGTTTTTTTGAGGTAGCAATAAAGGCAGCAAAGCATTAGTTGATAATTCTTGGTATCAAGTTAATCCATAATTTCCTGACTTAATAAATGTAAAGTTAATAAGTATAAACTTTGAGACATACACCTATGGAATAATATAAATCTATGATTATCTTGAAATTCCAGTTAATTTAGGGTATATTGGTCATTAAGTGTTCATATTGCATGAGCAAGAGGTTCTCACAGAGTAAGTGAAATCTAGTTCTGTCTTGGTAAAGCTAAACTTTGTCAATATGAATTAATCATTTGATTCTTAGTTTCCTTACATCTTTAAAATAAAGATTTCTTTCTGAAATTAGAATGATTTAGGAGTAACTATAGACTGTTGGAGTACTGTTTACTATTTTAGTTTAGAAACTTGATTAAGAGTAAACACTTGTCTTAACACTTGTCTTAATTTTTTTTTCAGAACCTTTGTTTCATTTTGCCACAGTTTTTGTACCAATTCTTCTGTGGATTTTCACAACAGGTTTGTGCTCTGAGCTATGTTTTATAATGTAGTTTATATTTGCTGCCAATACATTAGATAAGTATCTTCAAAGTAAAAGGATTTTTTTTTCTTTAGTAGTTGGTCTTGGACTGGATTTTGGCAGAAGCAAAAGTTACTATCTTTGATTTGCTCATTTTCACATTCTCTTGCAGAAGTTTTTGGTATATTCTGTTAAAAATGAGATTAAAAAAACAGTAAAATAATATTTGCATAATACTTAAAATATTTAAAATACATTAAAATATTTCACATTTTTCTTTTGTCCATATACAAAATGTATTCTAATAGTTCTAAAGTGTTAAAATCCTTCATTCATCAAATAAAATCCCACAGCTTTTCAGAATCTCAGGTTGGTTTTAAAGAAAAACACTAGTTTTAAATTTGGTCATATAGCTGTAATTCTTCGAAGGTTACTTAAATCAATTCTAAATGTTTGGGTATCTATTGTTCTGGACATTTATTACATAAAGTATATTCTGTAATTAACTAGACACATAAAAGGTGAGATGGATATAGGCCATTGTTTCTAATGGAAGTATAACCAAATAAAAGAAACATTATACTAAGCAACTCAGGAATTTTTTAATCTGTGAAGAATTCAATGATTTTGTCAACCTGGATTACCACATTGTCTCTAATACTTATTTATGTAACCTGGGTGCCGGTGGCTCACACCTGTAATCCTAGTTAGTCAGGAGACTGAGCTCTGAGGATTGCAGTTTAAAGACAGCCTAGTCAGAAAAGTCCCTTGAGACTTTTATCTCCAATTAACCACTCAAAACCGGGAAGTGGCACTGTGGCTCAAGTGATAGAGCACTAGCCTTGAACACAAAGAGGCTTGGGGACAGCACCTAGGTCTGAGTTCAAGCGCACAAAAAACTGAACTTATCTAATACTTAGATAATACCACAGATATTAGAGACTGAATTTGACTTGATTTCTCGTGGTAGAAAGTGATGTTTGTTTGTTTTTTCTGAGTATTCGGCAGTATTCAAAGTCATAACAACTCTCTTACCTTTATGCAACTTCCAGTATTGTAGAAGGGAGAGACAGACAGCAATCACATATATGATGAGAGGTACCTAGTATGTGCTGTGAAGAATATAAATCATAAAGACAGAATCTGACTCAGGGAGAGGGTTACTTTAGAAAAGATCTTTTGGAAAGATTCTCAGATGTGACAACATTTGGACAGAGAGTGGAAAAGCTGAAGGAAGGATTATGTACACACTTTAGAAGAAATCTGTCCCTACTAGGTAAAAGGGAGGTCTTCCTGAGATGACAAATCTTCACCTTTTTTTCTATGGTGGGGATTAAACTCAGGACCTTGCTTATGCTAGCCAAATCCAGTGCTACATCATTAGCTCCCCAAAAGTGTTGGTTTTTGCCTTTGGCTTGTATTAATGCTGAAAGTAGCAACCTTTATTGTATCTTTGGGGTACATGTAGCTAGTTGGTCTTTTTCAGTATGGAACCATATTAGGTATTCTCTGGAACTTGGAGAATAGACTATGAAGAATGTACAAATGGAATTAACATTCAAATTAGCCAACAGGCATCTCTTTCTTTAGTAAAGCTAAGATGGTATTTGTCTTTATTCTGCCATGAGAAAAGATACATTTATAACAGGTTTTACAAGAAACAGTATTATCAACTAAACCTGTTGTTTGTTTGGGGACATTCTGTCTCCCCTAATTATGCATCTAAGAATTACAATTATCTCTCATGTAACCTTAGAGTACCATAATGAAACAAAAGTAGATTGATCCTTTTTTGTTTAAATGAAATTCAAGACTAAATTGCACACTAGTCAATCTAAGTTGTTGTTTTAATTTACTCATTAGTGAAAATGAATAGTTTCCAAAGAAAATGTACTGTTGTTTGCCACTGACTACTGTTCTTACTTGAGCAGTAAAAGGAATGTAGCACCTTCTTTGAATGTTTCAATTCATTGAAAATTGTTTTTGCTGTGTCAAAATATTTGTTTGTATAGAAAGTATGTGAGAAGCACTTCCACTATCCATTTTCCTTTTATCAAGACTGTGGCATGTATTATCTCTTGCCTTTTTTCTGTTGAAAGCAAGAGTTGTCGTTTCCCCTCCCAGAGCCTTCCTATGCCTCATATACCCCTTAGTCTTTCTCCCTGTCTCAAGTTGGAACTCCTTGATAGACAAAGAGGAATCATCTCTGTCTCTTAATACTTGGCACCTAGTAGACATTCAATAAATGTTCTGAAGACAGCTATGATATGAACCAATGCTCTATTTGATTTGTTGCTAGCAATTTTAGTCAGTTTCCATTATGATAGTAATTAGATTTTTAATACTTAGATTAAAAACAGATCATTGTATTAATTGGTGTCACATTTCAAATGCATTTTATTAATCTAATGTCAAAAATGCACATATGTTTTTCTTTAATGATTGCATGACAACATCTAACAGTGTCTAACACATTGTAGATACATTGAACTCAATAAGTACTTTGTAAGATTGGAACAATCCTTTATAAATATGTTAGTGTCTGATCTGTACTCATTCTCTCATCCTGTATTTATTGAAGGTTTTCTGTATGCTCAGATTGTCAAAGCCCTCCAGCTAAAGTTGTTCAAATTAAGTTCATTATGGCCTACTATATGATTTGTTAAAAAGCTAATTGAAAAATCTGTGAGATAAACAAAAAAGTGCAGTACTCTGTTTAGTTTTTGCTAAGGAATTTTATACCTTTTTTGCTGGTCATGAGCTTTGAACTTGGGGCCTGGGCACTGTCCCTGAGCCTCTCTATGCTCAGGGCTAGAGATCTACCACTTGAGTTACAGCACCACTTCCGACTTTTTCTGTTTATATTATACTGAAGAATCGAACCTAGGACTTCATGCTGCTAGGCAAGCACTCTACCATTAAGCCACGTTTCCAGCCCGCAACTGATAATCTTCTGAGGGGTTTGTTGTTAATTTCTATTAGAGCTTATAGCATGTAAACATTCTGAATAAGATCCTATATTAAAGGGGACCATGTATTATGTGACACATCACAAAATGTTAATTTCTTTTTTACAGATGCCAGGGAGAATGACTTTATTAATGAAGTTTTCTTTGCTATTCCAAAAGGGATTGTCTTGTTTTAATGATTTTTACAAACAGATAAAATTGAATCTTGTAGATTACTGCCATCCATTTCTTTTCTCTTTTGTGTGTCATTTCAGCCACTATATGATGCTGCTTATCTTACAATGTACAACATCTGCTTTACATCCTTGCCTATCCTGGCCTACAGTCTGCTAGAACAACACATCAACATTGACACTCTGACCTCAGATCCCCGATTATATATGTAAGTTGAACATGCAACTTACATGCTGTCAGACTTTCTAAGCTGTGAGTTTCAGTTCCTCTACAGGTGGAAAAGAGAGCTGCTTATTGGGTTCAATTACGTGGGTTTGTTCTGAATTTTTATCTTGATATGTTTCCTAGGCATGGGTCCTCCACTTGAATGTATGTGAGGCATTTAAGCACGAATTACTACAACATGGCCCTGCGTTGTTAAAGTTTTCTAGTATCTTACAGAAAGACAGTATTTTAAATACCCAGAAAAGAAAAAGCGCAGAAAGTTTTTTTTGATAGTATTGATTCTGACTAGTAGATGGATCTGATGAGTCTATGTGACCCTATTTTCTTATATACTGTTCCCCTTTGTTTTATTTTATTTTTTATTTTTGGGTCCGGTCGTGGGGCCTGAACTCTGCGCCTGGGCGCTGTCCCTCAGCTCTTCAGCTCAAGGCTAGGGCTCTACCACTTGAGCCACAGCGCCACTTCTGGCTGTTTTTCTTTTTGCTTATGTGGTGCTGAGGAATGGAACCCAGAACCTCAGGCATGCAAGGCAAGCGCTCTACCACTGAGCCACCTTCCCAGCCCCTACTGTTCCCCTTTGTGAATCCCATTCTAAACAGTTTTGTTCAAGAAAACAATCAACTCATCAGGCTGTTGTATTCATTTGTGTAAGTTGGAAATTGATCCCTTTTTCTATGGATTAGAAACTTGGTGGTTTATGAGATGAAAATGCACAAATTTAAGGGGTTTTCTTTACCCCTGTAATACTCATAAATGTGTATTTAATAACTTACAGTTATACAGATTTTTAAGATCCCTCATAATTTTAAAGCTATTTACTAAGAAAAAATATAAAACATGCAAGTATATAGGGAACATTTTTTTCTGTTGCATAAAACATAGAAATTGGACATAATAAAGTAGTGTCTGGTTCTATACTATACATTGTATAATCTTTAAATCAGATTAGACAAACCTAGCATCTCAGTTGTCTCACTTCTTCATGCTAAAAACATTCAGTATCATTTCTCTTGGCCTACTGACATGTATAGTATCCACAGTATGGATATCCACATGTATAGTTATCCACAGTCACCCCACTGTGTGATAACACATCAAGACTTCTTAATCTTAACTGTAACTTAGTAGTCATTGACCAACTTTTCCCCATTCCTTTGTTCTCCCTCTCTCTCCAACCTGTTCTCAGCTGGGGAGAACATTCTATTCTCAACTTTCTGTTCTTGACTTCTATGATAGAAGCTTTTTTAGATTTATATAACTGAGATTGTGTGCTATACTTACCTAAGTTTAGCATAATGATCTACAGTTCCATCTATGCTGTGGCAAAAGATGACATTTCATTGGATTATTTAATATGTTCTGCTAATTCTGAATGTGTTGTAAATGGATAATTTGATCTAGAGGATTATCATAGAAATTTTGGTAGAAAACTTACAGAACTCAAATTCTGCATTTTCTTTGAAAATGAGAAACTAAAGGCCTAGAAATTATTTATATAAAATTACTTATATAAGAGTACTGTGTGTATGTGTGTGTGTGTGTATGTATATATATATATATATATATATATATATATATATATATATATATATATATATATAGTGTAACCAGAGGCAAAATGAAGATTAAAATTCAGCTCTCCTGATGACCAACCCTGTGCTCTTTTAAGACAATCCCTGAAGTGAAACCCAGTGGTGTATGAGCTCTGGTTAAGTGAGGCTGTGAGTCCAGTGCCACCAAAAGCTCAGGCTTAACCACCTTGTTTGAGATCTTACCTCTTATCACTTGTCACTTACCATGTTACCTGATATGTAGTTTAGTAAGATGTGCTTCTATGACATCTTCAGTAAGATAGGTCAACAGTAGCATCTAATGGCAAGGGTTTTATGAGGATTAGACAAGTCACTAAATTTTAAAAAAGAAATGTAAAAAACAGTACCTCACACATGGTAAGTTTTCAGATAGCTGATAGTTTATCTTGCGCTAATGTCCTCCTACTTATACCTTCTGTTTAATGCTGAGCAACATTTAGAATGTAGAGGACCTGAAAAAAGATACTAGGTAGAACATATAATAAAGATTTCCATGAAGTTTTATTTATTATACTGCAAGTGTATATTGCGAGTTCATGAACATAGAGTGTATATTTACCATATCTCATGAGAAAATAAAAGCAATAGCATACCTATTGTCAAATGGCTTTGGAAAGTAGTGTTGACCACTTTGATCAGAGATCCTGTTCTCCCCTTCTCACTGAACTGGAGATTGCTTCACTAGACCTACTCTTCTTTGACCATGAACTCCTGGTCTATCTGTGATCCTACAGTATACCACTTAGTTTGAGCACTGGCATTAGGTAGCATATTGCAAATTTTAACTTTGGGATTTAGTGACAGCATTTTCAATAACTTTGGTATGAAACAAGATAATTTCTCATTTCATAAGCAACATAAAAAGTGTATTTGTTACATGGAAAGAAAGGGTGTCATTTGTTTCTTTTGCAACTTTAAGAGACAAAAAAGGTATTCTGGTGTACCTGCTGCCTGTCATTATATGGTGGTATGCAGGCTTGTACTGTTGGTCAGCCTTTCTCCAGATCTTCATTCGCATTCATACTTTCCTTTATGTTGGTTGCTCTTTTCTGAGTTTCCAACAACTTCTTCCAAGTACAACTGGAAAGCTTGACCTGTAAGTCAACATACCATGATCCCTTTATCATTGGTCCAACAGATGTTTGTTGTAAAGACAAGACCCATTTTTTGTTTTTGCACTCTTTACCTTAGCCCAAGTTAGCAAAAATCCACATTGGCTTGCAGTTGCTGGACCCTCCCCTCAAGGAACTCTTAAGTGGTACATTCCCTGTATTTCTAGTTGCCTTGGAAACAAGACTTACTGGCTATGAGGAAAGCTTGTTTCTGAGAAGCTGCCACCTCTTTCTCCTAGCAGCTCTCTGGGAAAAATAGTATCACCAGCATTTCAGATTTCAGCATACCTGAAAATTCCAGTAGATAAAAATTGTACAATTGCCATGTTTTCAGGAAACTCCACAGTACTCAGTACTAACTAGCCTTGGTTGGTTATCTCTACATTACAATACATACAACCCAGTGACATTTTCAAAGATGTTATCAAAGGTGTGTTATTTGATTTGATATGTTTAGATACCATTTGATAAATGTTAAGAGAAATTTGAAATAGAAGCCAAAAGCAATGTGTCTAGAAACCCATCTTCATTCTGTAGCTCTGCTTCAGAATTAGAATTGATCACTTTATTTCATTTTTCTGACTGGTGCTGAGACTATTGTGCTATTGATATGAGGACCATGGTAGAAACTCAGCCCAATTAGGAAAGTTCATGAGATTCTTATCTCTGATTAATCAGCCAATGGTAGAAATGAAGCTGTGGCTCCAGTGGTAGAACAACAGACTCTGAGCTCAAGCCTCAGTACCAGCATGCATACACGCACGCGCACACACACACACACACACACACACACACACACAAACACACACACACACATGCACAATACAATATATATGTGGTAACATTTGCAGATGGAAAACTTGGTAGCATCCTTAAGAACGGATGCTTATAAAGGACTGTCTCTTAGTAATAAGTGAAATTTACCACTACACTAGTGGTTTTGAGATTCCAGTGCACACTTAGGATGCTTAAGAAGTGTACAAATACTTTAATGGTCTGGTTATGCTTCATAGAAAGTTAATGAGAATACTAATGGTCACCAGACAGCAGTATTTATTTGTTTGTTTATATATTTATTTATGTACCAGTTCTGGGACTTGAACTCTGGGCCTGGGTACTGTCCCTAAACTCCTTTTGCCCAAGTCTAACACTTTACCACTTGAACCACAGCACTACTTCTCACTTTTTCTGTATTTACTTGGAATTAAGACTCTCACAGACGCCTGGGCGGGCTTCAAAACATGATCCTCAGATCTCAACCTAATGAGTAGCTAGGATTACAGGCATGAGCCACCCTTGCCTAGTTTTAATTACTTTTAATTGACACATAACAATTCTATTTATAGGATTAAAACAGTACATGTAATGATCAAATCAGGATAATTAACATGTCTGTCATTTCTTCTTATCATTTCTTCTTGATGGAAACCTTCACATTCTTTTCTACTTATTTTAAAGTGTATAATTATTGCAAACTATATCCTATCTCTCACTAACTGTATTTTAGTACCTATTGTCCATTCTCTCATTAGCACACATACGCAGACAAACACACTTCCTAACCTCTAGTGACTTCTCTTTTATTTTTTTGCGATTAATATTAATTTCCACAAATACATACATATCTTTCTAGGCATCAACAACTTTTAAAGATTCCCAGGTGATTTTATTGTGTAACCTTTGGGAACCATTATGTGAAACTTTAAGCTTATAGTTTGTAAATGAGAATTATAATAATTCCTATTTCATGTAGGTTTTATGTGGATGAAAGTAATTATGTTTGTGACTATATGTGTATGTATACAAAACTCAGATCCTGTCCTATACTGAATAATTTTTAAATGGAAATTATTATTAATGATACTGTTGTCAGTAGCCATAGAAGTGTTGTGAAGTTTATTCTAATACCTTAGGGGGGTGATTACCTGAAGATCAACTTTTGGCTTAATGACCTTAGTTCATCAGGAATAATGCCCTTGATTGCAGTAGGGTTCAAACTCATACCCACCTTTGGTGTTTTAACGGTATTGTTAATAGCTAACAGATTTATTAACTTGTTTTCCTCCATTTCTGTAGGAAAATTTCTGGCAATGCAATGCTACAATTGGCTCCTTTCTTATATTGGACATTTCTGGCTGCCTTTGAAGGAACTGTGTTCTTCTTTGGGACATACTTTCTTTTTCAAACTACATCTCTGGAAGAAAATGGAAAGGTAAAAGAATATATTGTTACATCTTTTTATTATAAGCATGAATTATCTTGTTTTCCTAGGCACTGTGTTTGTGTTACATATAGCTTGCAAACTTTTTTTTGAAGAAACCGTGTTTCCTCCGCTTCTTTAAAATAGTATTATATAAGAAATCACTTCTTGTGTGCAAGGGTAATTCAATTGTAATTTTTACATGCTGAATAGAGTTCCTGAGACTTCAGACTTTGGAGTTCTGCCTTTTGGTGTGAGAAAAAAGGGTTTTCTTGTTTTAAAAGTCTGGGCCCAGTTATTTCTCATTCACAGTGACATTCAATGATTGGAGTTAAAGGAGGGTAGGAGGGTAGCTGCTACATCTTTGGAGTGTTAAACCAAGAGGTTAAGAGAAGGAATTCTTTTTTTCCACTTCTTTTGTGCTGGTTCTATAGCTTAAACTCAAGGCTTTGGTTGCTGTCCCTGAGCTTTTGTGCTCACGGCTAGCTCTCTACTGCTTTGAGCTACTGCTCCATGTTTGGCTTTTTTGTTTGTCTGTTTTGTTTTGTTAGTTGTGAGGCCTGAACTCTAGGCCTGGGCGCTGCCCCTCAGCTCTTCAACTCAAGGACAGCACTCTTACAACTTGAGCCACAGCACCACTTCCGGGTTTTTCTGCTTATGTGGTGCTGAAGAATCGAACCCAGGGCCTCATGCATGCAAAGCAAGCACTCTATGACCAAGCCACCTTCCCAGCCCTGGCTTTTTTTTTAAGTTAATGGAAGATAAGAGTTTCAGGGACTTTCCTGCCTGGGCTAGCTTTCAACTGTGATCCTCAAATGTCAGCCTCCTGAGTAGCTAGGATTAGTTGTGAGTCACCAGCGCCTGGCTAAGAAGGAATTCTTTTTTGTCCTTCTTTCCTTCCAAATTGGAATGTAGTATTTTCTACAAAGATTGCACCGGTTCTCCCTGTATCTTCTAAGCAGCTGCATTGGGATGATATAACCCTACCTGCAGTCCAGGAGAGAATTATTGATGGGGAAAAGGAAGGCAATGTGCAACTACCCACTGAAAGCTAAATATACTGCCTTGCATGCTGCTCTCATTGATGTTTTCCTTTGCCATTTCTGGTATTTGTCTTTTATGGTCATTCTTACAAGTCATAATGTGAAACCAGAATCTAAGATTCAAAGATAGTTTACTGAGTACAGTAACTATGTCTAGAACCCACTCAATTAACGTTTCTTAGAGAAGTGATAGGTTCAGTTTGAATGGTACTTTGAAATTAGGTACTGTGTTCAAAACCTCGAATTTGGTGTAACAAATCATTTTAAATCAATTTATTATGAATCCATGAAATTTTTAATCACAAAGTAACTGTTGGGGAAGTGAAGATTTACTTTAGAATAGATATATGTAATACTTGGCAAAGAAATTGCCTGATAATTTTGGGGTATTCTTGGGAATATTTATTAACCTTCCAAGTCAGCTTCAGCCATTGCTAGGAAGGGATTCAATTTTCGATCTCTCAGATCCTTTCACTTTATAACTGATTCTGTAATATTTACTTTTTGTTTATTGGACCACAAATTATAATATAGCTACCTGTTCCTTAACAGAACTTCTAATGGGTTGGTAGATTAGCTGCCTAGTAAGAACAAGGCCCTAAGTTCAAACTATAAGCACCATATAATTAAAATTAAATAAAGCAACATAAAAGAATTGACAAGCTGAGTGTGGTGACTCCCAAGTACCTGGGAAGCTAAAGCATGAGGATTGCAAGTTCAAGGCTACAAAGCAACTTTCAGGTCAAGCTAGGTTACATAATGATACGGATCTGAGAAATAGGGGAGAGTAAGTGGGAAAGGAGGAGAGAGAGAAACAAAATGCTAAAGTAGATGGATAGTCTCCTGTAGTCCTTTTATTAGCTCAGAATATTTTTCAAGTGTTACATAAGAAGCAGGAGCTCAGCTTCTCAATCATTTTGAGTTGCTGGAGTACAGATTAATAAGGTTTTTACTGTACATATCACTGTCCTTTTAAGTTTTTGCTAAAACTACATTATGTGTAAGAACTGCTATCAGCAACTAAACATAACACCCACGTATGATTTGGTTGAATCCTTTTTTGCTTCTATTAACCTTAATTTTTTGTTTTTATTTAAAAAAACCGTTTACATCTCATTTTCTGTTTTAATGTTATGCAATCAGATCTTGACAGCATTTGGTAAGCATATGTGCCATTCATTGCCATCATTTGGATTTATACATGGTATCTGTTTTTCTTTGGTGTGCACATGCTGACAGCTCTAGTATTTACAGCCAAAAGTTACACTCACTTTAAAAATGTGATTTCAGTTGTCTGCAAATTACTACTTATGCAAGAGTTTTAGTTATATCTACAAAAGCCCATATCAAACTCTTTAGTGACTTGAATCAAATGACTTATTTTGATGAACATTGCTATTAGTAGAATAGTTCTATTTTGGGGTTTTCTCCTGATTTAATCAAACTAGTGACTTCCTTGTTCAATACTGCATGGAATAATGGAAATGTATCCTACCAGTCACAGATACTATATGCCTGTCCATGAAAATTTAGTCACAGGAAAATCCAGCATTGTCACTTGATATTATTGACCATTATTTTCCTAAATCGTGCTAAAATCTTTGCCAATTACATGCAGTATTAAACTTGATTTTTAATTTTTATGCAAGCTTATGTCTGTTTATAGTACATGTAATTGTTAAATGTTTTTCAGGTATATGGAAACTGGACCTTTGGAACTATTGTTTTTACAGTCTTAGTATTCACTGTAACGCTGAAGGTTAGATTTTTATTTATTCAAATACATTTTATATCATTTTCTCCTAATCTTTTTGTTGATATTTATCATTCAACCTTTTATTTGAATGCTTATTAAAATATGTATGATGCTAGAAATTTACACATTTGTTTGCTATTTGTGATTTTCCCCCATGTATCTTAATTATTGTTTTGAAGGCATTGTGTGACATCATCAGGCTGTGAGTGTGTATGCGTGTATGTTCACATGTTAAGTACTAGCACCATTGTTTAAAATGTATATATTGTCTACAGAGTCCTGGCCTGAAAGGAATTTAGACGTTTAAGACAGTTAAACATATGTTCATGAGTAAAATATGTATGCAAAGGTATTTGGTAGTGTTAATCTTATTAGTCAATGAAATTTACTCTTTTCGTGATAAGTTACATAAAGATGTGCAGCAGGTAGAAGAAAGATAATTTTGGAAAAATCATTGATATTGACATGCAACCCTGTAATAGCTGTGAGATCTCACAGAATTTTATCCTTGAGGCTCATGAACTGAGATGCTTAGAGTTGTAAACAACTCACTTAGGATCTCAGAATGACTACCTTTAACTGAATTGCAGCACATCCAGTGGTCAATGCAGAATTCAGAAGTTTTCAGGTCATAAGCCTTGTCTGTCTTCTCTTCTTTGTTCCCATTTCATTTTTCATACCAAAAGAGCTAGTAGATGCTTGCATTGTTTCAGTGATATCAGACATTAAAAAATGCTATAATTCATCTCAGTTTAACCACTTAATAGTTGTATGTCCTTGGAACAAGTGGCTTAGCTTGTCTATAATTCAGTTTCCTCATTTATAAAAAGGTACCATCCCTGTCTGAAAGTTCTTTATGAAATGAAACAAAACATTAGAATGATGTCTGGCACATAGAACATGCTCATTATAATAGATGCTAATTGTTATATATTTTTATGATTCCCAGGGTCATGATTTTGAAGTGGAACCTGCCCCCCCTTCTCCATTTTTTTCTCCTGGACTTAAGACCATAAAGTTTCTAGGTGCTCTTTACAGTTATACTCAGCATTACTGCAGAATCTCTCATATATGCCTCTAAAGACATCCACTTCTTCCTTTTGTCTGACTGTTAAACTGTGACATTTTCCTCACCATCCAGAGTGGGGGGATTCACCATTGGCCTGCATTAGCAATGTTACAAACATCTTGTTTATGAATGAGAAATTATAACAGAGGATATTAGCTTTTGTGAGAGAGAAGTTTTAAACAAGTATACAAAACCATTCTTTTCTATTAGATCACATTTGGAAAACCTCAAGCGCAGTAACCCCAAACCACAATGAATCCTTGTAGAAACATGTACACGTTAAAATCTTTATGTAAGCAATTTATTAATTTAATGGAATAGATATAGTTATTACAATGAAAAGTCAATTCCATGATCCTTTGCTATATGATTCAAGATATAAAGAGCTAACTAATCTGTTGTGTGAGCTTTTGTGATCTCTCTATTCCCAGGTACCCCTCTCCTACTTTTTTTCAGCATGCCTACATTCACCAGCTAAAAATCATAGGCCTTGTCCTTTTTGTCGTAATCTGCTTGACTTCCACTTGGGGCCCCATACTCCTCAATAGTCCCCCTCAACATTACCATTACCACATCATTCCTTGTTTATCACCCGGTACAGAGACATTTGCAGTCCTGTGCCTACTAGATACTTTGCTGGACCACACTGCCTATACTCTTAAAATTGAGGCCTCAGGGCAAAGCTCAGGTTTCTCACCTTACTTAGGTCTTTGAAAAGCCTGCATTCTTATTAATCTTTTAATTCTATTCCCTTCTGGCTCTGTGGCCAGAGGTAGATCCTCCCATATGTATCGTATTTGTACATATTATCAGATATTATAGTGTATTACCTGGTGCAGTTTATGTCCATCATTTAATCTTTTGTGTTGTATCTTTTCAGCTGGCCTTGGATACCAGATTCTGGACATGGATAAACCACTTTGTGATTTGGGGATCATTAGCCTTTTATGTATTTTTCTCTTTCTTCTGGGGAGGAATTATTTGGTAAGCAGTTGTACATGTATAAGCAATATATAAATAGCAATATATATATATATATAGTTTATAGAGAGTACATGTAAACATTCATTATACTTTTAAAGGTTTTATTATATAAGATGTCAGAAGCTGGGAGCCAATGGCTCATGCTTGCAATTCTAGCTATGTGGGGAGGCCCGAGCCAAAAGTTCTAGAGCATCACAGCTGAAGAGTTATACTTGAAATTACCATTTTATTAATTTTAGATGTAAGGAGGTCGATTCTACAACTTATTCTTAAGATTCATTCAGTTCATCTTGGTTCAGTAGATGTGTGCTCAGAGTATATTTTATTCATAATACTTTTGGAGAAACAGCAATGAATTAACTATACCCTGCCTCAAGGAGATAAAAAGTGCAATGATGCACATATAAACTGTGATTTATAGGAGTTGTAAAAGACAAAAATATAATGAATTGTAACTACTTTCCTTATTCCCAGAGGTCTATATTTTGCTTTTAAATATCAAACTTGTTTTTATTAATCAATGGCTAGAGGCAAAGCTAGAATAAGCCAAATGTGTAAGAGTCCAGAATACATTACTTTTGTTCCTTTGAGCAAAATTTTACAATTCACAGAGATGTGATGATTTTATGTTGGGACTTCATTAAAAGAAACTTTTATTTGGAAAGCTTTTAAAAGTAAAAGCCCTAAGAAATAAAAAAAAATAGGAAAAACCTAATCACTTCAGGTAGTATTGAATCCAAAAAGGATAATTGGAGCATATATTTGGTACCTGTATAAATATTGATTGAGGGCTAACTTGCAAGTCTCTGTTTTCTTGAGTAATATACAAATAAATCGAAGTTGATTTAAATTCAATATGCAATTGTATGTCTGCCCATAATTCTGACTTGTGAAGTCAATCAAAATATGAAAATTTCCACAAGAATAGACTATTTCTAGCAATCTAAATGAGTTTCTAATCTTATGCAGACTTTTGATTAAAATCAGTCCTTGAAATTATTTAATTACATGTATATTATATAATTATTTATATTCATTAGGGATACTAAAAAGAATACAATGGTCCTCCTTTATCCCAGTTTTTGAGGTTTTAGTTTGTCAGTCCAAAAATTATAAATGGAAAACTTCTAGAAATACCTAATTCATAATTTTTACATTTCACTCTTCCAAGTAGTATAATGACGTCTCATTCTATCCGAGATGGGAATCATTGTTCTATCCAACTCCCCATTATTCACATAGTAGCTGGAACACCACTGTGCTTATGTTTAAGTAATCCTTATTTTACTTAGTAAAATCTCCAAACAAATATGAATGATACTGTCAGTTTTATTACAATATATTGTTATAATTGTTGTTGCTTATTATAATTAAACTATCATAAATAAGCATTACAGGAAAAAGTCACTGTGTGTGTGTGATGTGTGTGTGTGTGAAGAGAAAGAGAAAGAAAATGTTATATATTACTTTCTGCAGCTTCAAGCAGACAGTGGGAACAAATCCGTTTTATTTTGTTGTCCAGAGTACCTTTTCTAAGTAGAGTTATCCAAGTTGAACTACTACTACATGAATATAAACTTAAAAGTGAACAACAAAATGTGACTAGAATCTATGCAAAACTGTAGCTGAATGCTAATTATAGTTAATGTTTCTGGACATTCTGGCTCTTTTGGGGGGCTTGAGCTATGAGAAAGTTTGATTTTTTTTTGAAACTCAATGCAAAAGTAATTGTTTCTGTCTTTTATAGTCAGATATATTAATCAGAGAGTATTGTGAGTACAATCAGTATAAAGGAACACCCTTTGGCTCTATGTCACTTTCCTATTGGCTCATTGTTAAGGCTGCATTAACTGCCTAAAAATTATTCAAAGTAATTTTCAAAACTAAGGTACAGTAGAGGTCTACAGAAATATTTGTATGGTAGACTTTCTAGAAAGCCTGTCAGCTTCCGGCCTCATGAGTTTTTCTGCCTCCCTCTACAATCTACTCATTATATGTAAATATTCAAGCCACAAGCTTGTTACAAAAGGGAATACAAACATAAAATTTTAATGAGAAACCAGTTTACTTTCTCCAAGTATGATGTATGATCTTTGACCTAATAAAGATCCAAGTACAATTCTTATCCTAGGATGATTTGGTGTTCATCCTGACCTTAAGTAGCCATTTCCTTTCTCTCAGCTTAGAAAAAAAAAAGAAAGTAGCATTGTGAGACTCTATGCAGTGAACCTCAGACAGTGAAAGTGAGGCTGTGCTTCTCTGTGTCTACTTTGCTCGTAGAGTAACTTGAAATGAGATCTAAGTTTAGAATGAGGAATTTGCCTGGATTTCTGTATTCCAAGCCTTACTATTTTAGTGAAAATCAATCTACTTGATATACAGTTAATACCTATTTGCAGATACAAATGGCATATTCATTTGTGAGAAATTATAAACTCTATAGTCCTTTTTATATTTATATGGGTTTTTTGAAAAGAGGAAATGCCTTTTGAATTTCCAAAATAGAGCATAAATCCATCATATTAATAAAACATCTGAAGAAATAAAATGCTTGTTAGCATGAAAATTAACAATTTCTCCTGAATGTTTGAATTGAAGCTCTATCATTTCTAATGCACATAAATATTCACAAGTTCACAGCTTCATAGTTGATTGCCTGATGTTTTTGAGTCAGATAAATTTAATCATTTTTTCCTTTTCTTTCCAAACATTGGTAAATGCCATTTGTTTACTATTTATGGGACATTCTAAAGAAAATTATTTTTATTAATGCATATAAACTTCTTTTTAAGTGCAAAAACAATTTTAATTAAGCTTTTTTATTTTTTGATAGGAACTGATTTGTTTTTTCTTTATGTATTTTCTTTCCACTCCAGGCCTTTCCTCAAGCAACAGAGAATGTATTTTGTATTTGCTCAAATGCTTTCTTCTGTATCCATATGGTTGGCCATAATTCTTCTAATATTTATCAGCCTTTTCCCAGAGATTCTCCTGATAGTTTTGAAGAATGTAAGAAGGAAAAATGCCAAGGTAAGAACTAAGTTTGTATCACAAATTAACTTTTGGAAGGGGCTTCGGTATGTGCCATGAACTAAAAACCTTATTTAGAGAATTGCATTAGTTAAAGCATGTTAAACCCCTCCTTACAGGTTCATCACTTAATTTCCTCTTCTGCATAAAAAGTATAGTAAAAACTTCGTTACCCAATGCAGGTGGTAAGTAGATTCCTCAATAGTGTTCTGTGTGACCTTTAGCAATCCATATGGAGTATCTCATGTGCTCCATATGGAATTTTAAAAGGAAAAATGATTTTATTTTGTATTTAGCCCAGAATTTTCACACCAGCTATTTCCACACCAACATTTCAGCATTAACCTTAGTAATTTCCATGTGAGCTGTTTGCAGATTTTTTTAAGTTGATAATCTCAATTTGCCTTTTTCAAACCTTTCCCCTTCCTTTAATTATAGTGCTGCTTAATCTCGGTGTTGCTTCTAGCCCTTTCTCTCTAGCCATATATTTTAATCAAAGAGAATTCCCTGGATGTGTTTTTTACATCCATATCTTCTGAACACACTAGTAAAAATTCAAGGTTGTTTTTAGGAGTATTTTTATTTTTATTTATTAAATCATAAATTTCTATTGGGATGAGAAGTTATTTCCATCTGTCAGACTATCTGATATTTTCTGAACATTTCTTTCAAAACCTTTAAAGTAAAAGAGGTAGATTAGCCTAGAAAATAAACTTCTGCTAGATTTTGTCTAGCAAGTTAATTAATTATGTCATATTCCTGCCAACACGAGCTCCCTTTTGCCAAAACAAAGAATAGTTTCTGTGATATTGTTACCAACTAGATTATGTAGCACCTCTAAGGGTAGTAGTATAAGCCATGTTTTCCTCATTTCTTTGATCAAATTTGCTAGCCAGATAAAACCCCAAACTGATTTATCACGTTTTGGGTTTTGGGGTTTTTTTTTGTACATTGAATTGATAGGACCCAGTGCTTAACGTTAATGTAGATATGAAGATTTTATTACAATGAAAAAAATCTTGAGCTAGGCACTGGAGGCTCACACCGCTAATCCTAGCTATTCAAGAGGTTGAGATCAGAATCCTGAGTTGCAAAGCCATCTTAGACTTTATTTCTACTTAACCAGCAAAAAAGCTGGATGTGAAAGAATGGCTCAGGTGGTATAGCACCAGCTGGTTCTTAGCAAATAATCTAAATGAGAGCATAAAGTCCTGAGTTAAACCCCAGTACAAAATAATCACGTGATTTTTACCTAAATATCAGTTTAACAGGTCCATACCAACAGGTTTCTCCAAGACGGGCTCAAGTGGCAATTCACAGAAAGCCAAATAAAAAAATGTTGCACTAATAAATTATTTGGTTCCTTTTTATAGTAAAGAATTTGTAAAGGAGGACCTCTGAATTGTTCTTCCATTCTCCCTGTTTGAAGTGCTCTTTAGGGTCCTCCTAAATGTTCTCTTATTTGGGATATCTAACTCCAACTTCATGCTCTAAAGATGATACCTACTATCTCAGAAATCAAAGTCTTCAGACATATCCTCTTCTTACGCCTACTCCTTAAAAGATTAATAGCTACAATGTTTAGTGATATTTATATAGGACATTAAATGGATGGACACTACTCAACACTCAAAAATACATAAGCTTAGATGCTTTCTTTCCACACAAATGGCAGTGAAAGTACAGAGTTGTGGGACTGCAGACTTTTTCACTTAGCAACATAAAATGTTACCAGAAGTTCAGCAGGAGATTTGTTTGTCATGGGTTCTATCTATGATAGAAGGAATTCTTATGTCTGTATTGTAGCTTGGCATGCTAATGTGCTAGAAACAACTAGGAATTTTTCATAACCATTTTCATTCATTCAGTCATTCATTCATTTAGTCCTCCCCTCTCAGAACCAATAAACATTTATTGAACCACCTACTGATGAACATCTCTCTTTTTATCCAATGTCTGAAAAGCTAATCGGTTTTTCAGATGCTGTGGGATTTTCAGAGCTGCAAACGAGGGCAAACTAATTATGAGCATTCAGCAGCACTGCCTTTTTTTTGTATGAGAAAATGCAAGAGCAAAGTAGTATACAAGAATGTATAAAGACCAGCTAAATTATGGCAGCCATAGCTCTTCTAATAGGTCGTATCTGCTTCCATAATGCCCTATTTGACCATATCAGAGAAGCAAAGATGAACTTGTAATCAAGTTGAATGAGTATCTTACCTTTGCCAAAAGGCTGACATTCTCAGTGATTTCTTACTTTGGTATTCCTTGGTAAAGCAATGGCTTCATTTGAAAAAGAAGCAAAGGGTCCTTTTACACTGTGTCTTCCTCAGAGTCTAACAGATTCTGTAATGGGGTAAAAAATGTGTCTAGGGGCTGGGAAGGTGGCTCAGTGGTAGAACGCTTGCCTTGCGTGCATGAGGCCCTGAGTTCGATTCCTCAGCACCACATAAGCAAAATGAAAAAAGCCAGGAGTTAGAGCGCTAGCCTTGAGCTGAAGAGCTGAGGGACAGCACCCAGGCCCAGAGTTCAGGCCCCACGACAGGACCCAAAAAAAAATGTGTTTAGAGTAGAAGATGTATGTTCCTGACTTGAGCCAGTTAAGCACCTGTGTATTGTATACATTTGGCTGGAAATGCCCTATGACAGAAGGTAGCCAGTGCTAACCTTCCTGTGTGTCTTGGCAGCTGCTTTGAAACGAAGACATTGTAGTGAGTAGTGACATGGCTTTGGGTTTTGAGAAAAAAAAACTAGGCTATTTATATTTAATAATTCTATGAGCAGCTTTAGAGTGCCCACTATTCAATTTGATGTTTTTTGACTGAGGGTCCACTGTGAATTAGCTATTATAGTAGGTGTTGGGAATTTAGGGATGAGTCACATATGGCCCAGCTCACAGGAGCTCTTGCGCTAGTTAAATTAAAGGGCATTCATATGGAAACCTTCTGTAAGCAGGTATAAAGCAGAATAGTATAATCAATTATAAGGCTTGTTACACAACACAACTGAGCTATTTTAAGGCCCAAGTCATCACCTCCTGAGGCCTTCAGTAGAAATGCTTAATATAGAAACCTCAAGCAATTATAAACAATTATCTTCAAAAATAGGCCCTCATAGTCATTTAATTCAAAACTGTAGTTCAGCCACATATCCTTCAACCAAATTTTCTTTTTGTTATAAAACTTCATGTTTAAGAACCATAGAGCTTTCCTCTAGTTTATAAAGTGACAGACCTGATAGCTGTACTGTTGACAGTATGATAGAACTACCATTGAGCACTGAATAGTGAAACAGCAAGATAATAGTTTAAAGGGAGTTTGAACTTTAGGATTGTGGTATTTCAAAAAGCTATGTCTCCTTTATGCACAGTCATTGCCTGCCTGTAAATCACTTAAGTATATCTGGACCTTCTAACCAATGGTAAATACCTCTTCAATTCCCAGTAGGGGGAGTTTTCATTTTTCCTTATGTACTGTTTTCTTCTAAACCACAACAATCAAGAGAGGTTGGACTGCCTGCTAGACAGCAGAGAAAGAATCTAGTAGGAAGGGATCTAGCAACAGGGCCATCTAGTGTGGATGTCTATATACGTGGAAAGAAATACATTGTATAGGGAGCTCTTTAAAAATCAAAGACATGGAGCTGGGAAGGTGGCTCAGTGGTAGAGCGCTTGCCTTGCATGCCTGAGGCCCTGGGTTCGATTCCTCAGCACCACATAAGCAAAAAGAAAAAAGCCAGAAGTGGTGCTGTGGCTCAAGTGGTAGAGCACTAGCCTTGAGCTGAAGAGCTGAGGGACAGCGCCCAGGCCCAGAGTTCAGGCCCCACGACCGGACCCAAAAAATAAATAAATAAAAATCAAAGACAAGCAGGGCACCCACGACTCTTGCCTGTAATCCTAGCTATTCATGAAGCCGAGGATCTGAGGACTGTGGTTCAAAACCAGCCTGGGCAAGAAGCTGTTTTATACTCTTATGTCCAAGTAACTATCCCCAAAAGCCAGAAGTGGAGTTGTGGTTGAAGTGGTAGAGTGCTAGCCTTGAGCAAAGAAGCTCAGGGACAGTGTCAGTACCCTGAGTTCAACTCCCAGGACCAGCACAAAAAAAGAAAAATGAATTGAAGATAGGAGAGAAAAAGTGTCAGCTGAGTAAAATTCCCAGAGAAATCACCAAAGACATTTTTTAAAGTTCAACTTAACCATTTTAATAGTAATTATGATAATGATAGCCATTACTGCAATACTTAGTTTTGTATATAGGTTAAGAGAATAATAGCCTTGTAAACCGGATTAGACCAAATAGTTAAATCCTATTGTCGTGGCTATTGAATTCATTGGCCTCTTTGACAAACTGCCTATTGAGATGGTGTCAAAGTTCTCTAGATGACTGCCAAGGAATATAGAAATTTCATACTGTTTTTGTTCATTATCTCCTGTCCTGCTCAACCCCCACTGCAATTCCTAGCTGTTTTTGTTTATTGCTTTAAATTTTCTTTTCTTGCTTTCTAATACTTTCTGTACTTTCATATTTCCTTTATAAAATAATTCTAACACCTAATCTCTTAACCCCTAAAATTTCTCCTTCATAGAATAATTGTATTTCTGATGGTAGGTATCAATTTTTGAGCACACAAATGTGCTTACCATTATACTCTAAGATATAAAGTGGCGCTGTAGCTCAAGTGGTAGAGCGCTCGCCTTGAGTTGAAGAGCTGAGGGACAACGCCCAGGCCCAGAGTTCAAGCCCCACGACCGACAAAAAAAAACTATACTCTTAGATATAGGCTTCTACATTAAACATGGGGTAGAAGATATTGTATCATGTTAATCTTGTAGGATTTTTGCCCACAAAATAGAAGATAGAAACAATAAAAAAAATATTTTCTCTAAGCCAGGCAACAATGGCTCATGTCTATAATCCTAGCTACTCAGGAGGCTAAGATGTGAGGATCATGGTTCAAAGCCAGCACAGGCAGCTAAGCCCAGAAGACTGTTATTTCCATACCACCAAAACAGCCAGAAATGGAGCTGAGGCTTAAGTGGTAGAATGCTAGCCTTGAGCAAGGGACAGTGCTCAGGCCCTGAGTTCAAGCCCCAGGACTGACACAAGAAATATTTTTTTGTTACTTGGTCATCTTCATGCTACCTTCATGTGACCAACATTATTTTAAATGTGAAGAAGTAAAAGTAGTTGTGTCAAAACCTGAAGAAATGGAAGTATTTTAAAAGTTTATGTGACTGCTGGATACATATATTACCTGATCTGCTTTATTTTCCTAAGACTAATTTCCTTAGTCTCTTAAGAAAATAGTATGGGTAATTTTGATTAGTAAAGTTGATTAGTAAATCTCTATTTTGTCTGGGCAGTGACAAAACCAAGCCTGTAAATTATCTTGTCATTTCAGGTACAGAATAAGTAGGAGGAAAACCTCTTAGGTTTTCTCAGTAAAGTTTATCAACTTCGGATTTTCGACTTTTAAAAAAATTGATACCATATCTTGGAAAAATTGAGCCTGATTTTTTAAAAGAGGTCTCTGTAAGAAGAATAGTAAAATTGATCAAATTACATTATGATAGGAAGTTTAAGCATTATTTCAGAAGCAAATGGGATCGTGCATCACCAGATGTTTTACCATTATATAATATTGACTAGATTTTTAATGAGAAATTTGCACAAAGTTCCATCAGTGTGTCTATACAATTGGATAATGGAGATATAATTTGTTCAGGATAGATTGGTGACTGGTGACAGATTGGCCCTGGACAAAGCTTTCTGACCAATGGATTTTGGACAGATAGAAGGTAGTAAAATTAATGATCAGAGATGAACCTTACTTTAGTAAGGTTCTTAAAATTATTTTATTTATAAAGTAATTCATATTTTATATAATGAATATTTCCACAACATTCCCATTAACAAAAGAATTTTAAGTGGTTGTACATAGAAATAATAGCTGGCACATATAATAGACTGTTCCTAACTCTATTTTTACTTCAAGAAGTAACGTCTTCAAAACTAACATGTCATATCTACTTCCAATTCTCAAGGTTTCTTTAAATGTCCTACATCTAAGAGAATATTTACTTTTTCTTTTTTTTTTCTTTTCTTTTTTTTTTGGTTTCTGCATTTCTCTTTTCTACTGCAATTTTCCACCTTTTGTGCAATTGTGAACAAGGTAACGAAACGCCTCCCTTCCTCAGGAACATCTACTATCTTCATGCTTTCTCAAACTTCCAGCAATCACAGTTTCTCTTGGAGTGAATAAGGTGATTTCCTTTCTTAATGTACTGACTTGCTTGCCATTCTCATTGCCTGACACCATTTTCTGATTCTTTACGAAAAATTACTTCTCATGACTCATTTTTATATCTTCTATTGATACTTGTTATTTTCTTTTATTCATTTGTTCACCTTCCAAATTGTCACATGGAAGAGAAATAATCTTCAAAAGCTTGGGAGATATATTTATATATATGTATGTATATGTATATACGTACATATATATGTATATATATATATATGTCTATAGTCTTGCTGATCCAGGTTATGCCATAGTAGCCATGTGTTAGAGGTAGTATGTTCACCAGGACAAGAATATTTCATGCAAAATTCTGTTTGGCATGCTCACAGTACCAGCAAAACTGTTAAGAGGTGTTCACCAAAAGGATGGTAAGGCTTACTAATCAAACCATACTGACTCATCTTACCATATAACTTACCAGTACCATTTCAAAAAAACCAACTTTGCCACTTACCACTAATGTCTATTTACTTCTACTACAAAAAAAATTGAGTTGGAAACTTTCTTAGGTCTTTAAATGTATTCATTTAAATGTTAATGCATTTACTCTATAGTATAATCATTTGTACTTTTGGCCAGAAAGTAGCCTTTAGGAAATGATTTTTGCTTCTCCATTTTTATCATCAGGTAGGTGAAAATCTTCCAGTGCTTTAAGTATCTTTGCCTCACTGTTACAGAAAAATCTGAACTGTAGAAAGGCATCTGACACATTATCCGCCAGACCTTCAGTCAGACCTCTTCTTTTACGAACATTCTCAGACGAATCTAATATATTGTAACAGGTACCTAGTGTTAAACAAGTGGGCTGGCTTTAAAGAAACAGATTAACAGCATTATAAAGAAAAAATGAAAATATCACTCTAAATTTTCTCTGTTGTTGGTGTGGTGAACTTTATACTATTCTTTGCAAACAATATAAAGATGCATTACTTGGAATATAGAGAAATAACATTTTAAATTTACTGAACCCACTTAATATTGTGGCTATTTTTCAGCACTGAATGGCAATGTTATATATTTAATTTGCAAGGGGCAAGTTGTAATTTTGGTGCCACCGTGTGAAAATAACTCATTGATACTGATCAAGCATAGTTTTTCCAAAAGATCATTTGGAAAGTTGAAAATAAATATTCCAAAATTGCATCTATATAATATCAAATCAGTGTAGCATTGCATGTCTTTTTGGGAACTATGTGAAAATAATCAAATGTGTTTGTACCTTCTTGTGCCATGTCTGTGTGTTTTCAGGTATACACTAGTGTTTGTGTAAATGTCTGATCCCCAAATATGTGTTAATGTACCATGCTACTCTAATCATAACTTTTAATGTCAAGTTTTATTCAAGCTAAGTGTTTCAACTTTCACAGGTAATCTGTTTCCTAGCAATTCAGGGGGATGCATGACTAATAATATATAATGCTTCATAACTCATGTTTCTAAAAATGAGTACATTTATCTTATAATTTTGTTTCATTTGCTGCAAAAAATTGGGGAAGAATTTATATATCCTGATGAGGAACTCTTATCCTTACAGTGGCTTCTTTAATGTATACTTTGTATATCCCACTGCAGGGACCTCTGGTACTCAAGAATATCAGAGGTCTTTTATCCATCCATGAAAATTGAGAGTAACAGTTTTACACAGCTTATGACAGAACCTTTTTTACACTTGAATAAAATTAATGATGATCATAAATAAAATTGTGGGTCAGCTCACTTTGAAGCTTAATAACTGTGAGTCCACCTTAAGTCCATTTTTTCATCAGCTACCAATTCCTCCTCCAACTAGCAAAGACTAAAAATTAAGCTAATAGATTGGAATTGTTGCTTTTTACATCCTCAGTTCACCACAATCTATTTATAGGATTATTTTGAAAGGAGGATCTTTTTGCTACAATCAGCATCTTTTTACACATTTTCTCAATGACTCACCTGCACGTGTTTCCTCTCAGTAATGACATCTGCTTCACAAGTAGCCTTCAAAGTCTTTGAACCTTCTTTCCCCAGATTGCTTTGTCCTAAGCTGTCAGAAGTTTTAGCTTTACTGTTTGTAGTTAATTTTGTATCCCCCTGGATTGCTTTCTTTAGCTTGGTCTGTGGTTGGGGGACTGCTGCTGCTTTTGGCCTCTCCAGGGCCTTAACTTTAGAACTGAAGATTTTAAAACAAGTATTTTTATTTTTAGTTTTAATTATTTCTCCTATAAATTGATTTTCAAGTGACATTATTTCTTTTTGAAGGAAAATATTTGGCAGTTTAGGCCACTGAGTTTCTTCCTTGTTTGGTAAGGGAGTTACCTGACTGTTTTTATATTCTCAATATGAATGGTGACCTTTATGTTTGCTAAGGTCATGACCCTGCAAAGAGACTTGAAGACCGATTAGTGGTTTTCGGAGAATGTAGAACATTAATAGACATGAGTTCCACAATGGGAAGAAAATAGTCCTCTCCTTAAGGCCTTTCATTACTACCATTCAAAATGCTTCAGTTTTAGAATGGCAAATCAAAGTTAGACTCCCTCCCATACAACTTCTGCTTCTCAGCCTACATGTATTATACTGAGAACAGAGAAGAATCTATAGCTTCATTAAGTAAATTATTGCTGTCCCTACTCTCTATACTTGATGACTAGAAAAGAACTAGTTAACTCATAGTACATGACCTGTCCCCACCCCCAAAAAATAACTTCAACAGAATGAGGGTATCCTTACAGTAAAGGAAGGGTGTTTTCATAGAAATCTTCTAAAACAATATATGCTCAGACTTCTGTCAAAACTCAGATATCAGCCTGGCACCAGTGGCCTGTAGTTCCATCTACTCAGGAGGATGAGATCTGAGGATCATAATTAGAAGGCAGCCCAGGCAGAAAAGTCTTTGAGACTACTGGAAGTAGAGCTGAGGCTCAAGTTACTACTTGACTGCTAGCCTTGAGCAAAAGAAGCCCCAGGACAGTGCCCAGACCCTGAGTTTTAAGTCCCAGGACCAGCATAGGGGGAGGCAGGGATGGATCCTCACATATAAAAAAAATCCAAAACAAAAAACAATGCATTGCTGGATGCTAGTGGCTCATGCCTGTAATCCTTGCTAGTCAGGAAGCTGAGATCTGAGGATCAAGGTTCAAGCCAGCCCAGGCAGAAAATGAGACTCTTATCTCAAGTTAATCACAGAAAAAGCCAGAAGTAGCACTGTAGTTCAAATGGTAGAGTGCTGGCCTTGAGCAAAAAGGAGTTTAGGGACAGTGCCAAGGCCCAGGACCAGCAAAAACAAACAAAAAACAATCCTGCATGAATTATGAATACATTCAACATTTCCTCAACATCTGCTATGTTCAGGAATTAGTTCACTAGACTCTATGTGAAAGAAAAGGGAAAGATATAATGTCCCTGTTTTCAAGCAACTCCTCATCTATAGGAAGGAATTGTATGGAACTCAGCCTTTGCTGTGGTAGGTAATCCCAGTGGTTTGTTATAATAGTGTTAAGGGAACCCTGGAGCAATCCAAAAGCAAAGAGCAAACCTGAACTTCATCTGACAAATGAAAGGATTAAAATCTGGTTATTGTGTCCCTCCTTTCCTCCCCCCCCCCCGCATGTGAATAAAACTTGGCACTTTCTTAAAATAGTTGCTTTACTCTCATAACAAAATTTACTACTTGGTTTACTTTTTTATGTTAAACAGATGGTTTTATTATTATTTTTAAGTAATCCTTTTAATTCTCTATATTTTAAATTTTTCAGAATCCAAGTGTTGAACTGCCTATGTTATTGTCCTACAAGCCTATTGACAGTTGTTACAGCTAAAAAAGAAAGCATGAAGAAACAACTACAAAAAGTTATCATCTCAGGATACTTGATATGCAACTAAACCACTCTCATATGTCTAGGGTTCAAAATAAATGCTCATTACAATGCCAAATGACTCTTCTAAGCATTACAGTTATCCATCCATGGCCAAAGCTCTACGTTAAAAACTATATGAAAGTTGAAAGCAAAAATACTTAGAATTCTGGCTTTAGATAGAAAATGCAATAACCCACTGAGTGTTCTTTTAATTCATGAATGGATTTAAATAACAGAGTGTCAAGTAGAAGTTATGTAATTGGAATGAATAGATTTTACTAATACAGTATAACTTCTTTGCCTGTCAGAAGACATAGGCTATTTCGGTCACATTTCTTGTTTCAAATTAATGATTTATCTTACTTTTCTTTTGAACACACAAAAGGAATACTTGAAAATATAGAATGAATAAATGGCACCAGTATATCAGACTAGATAATTCATAATCTATTCACCTAAAGACTAATTGTCTTACTAGAATATCTTTGCCCAAAAAATACCTTGAACACTTGTGTAGGAAGTTTTAACTGAGTATTAAGTGGGAATGGAAAAAACTATTTTTCTTCTGAATTATGGGTAGGTAGGTAGGTGTATGGCTACTAGGCTTGAAATTAAAACATAAAAGATTTCAGTCACCTTGTAACCCCTCAACAAGGGGAATAAATAGGTTTATCCAGTGTCACTTTTACTAGGATCTGAGGTAAGATGGGTTAACCCAGATTTATATAAAAGTAAAGACAATTCTGAACATCATCAGCCTTCTATAATTTTACATGTCCAGGAGGAGGAAGTTTGCTTATTTTGAACTATAAACGGTTTTTTATTTGGAAGAAGTTTTGTTTGTGCATATATGCAGCACTTTTTTTAACTTGCCAATTTGGGAAGAAAGCCATCCCAAAGTAGTTCAGCCTGTAGAACCATGACTGCCAAAGTGAATATTGTCTCTTGTAGCTAAGTTGGCCAAGACAATAGACTAATTCAAAACCATGAGATTACCCTTGGTAAAGTCTACAACATGCTGGTGTAGAATGAGGTTTTAATGCTCTAGTGAGGTCACTTAAAGCTTAAAATAAATGTGAAATGTCATCATTTAATGTTAAAATTGAGCAGGTTTTGGGATATAAATGAGCATATTTGACTACTAGATTTGAATGGTCTTTAACTATGTTTTTATGTCAGTTTCCATTTTTGTCTTTCTAGTATGACTGTACTATTAATGTTTATGGTTTGTGTGTGTGTGTGTGTGTGTGAGTGTGAGTGTGTGCATATCCATGCATGCATGTGCCAGTCCTGGGGCTCTACCATTTGAGCTACAGCTCCACTTCTAGCTTTTTGGAGGTTAATTGGAGATAAGAGTCTCATGGATTTTTACGTCCAGGCACCATGATCCTCAGATCTCAGCTTCCTGAGTAGCTAGGATTACAGGTGGGGCTTCAGCACCTGGTTTATGTTGTCTCTTGATATGGGAAAGGATTGGATTCAGTCTATCCCAATGTATTTATGTAGTCCATATGGCACATTTCATTCTTTGATTATATATATATATAAATATATGTTTATACTTATATATATATTTATATATAATATAGTATGTGTGTAAAGAGATATAATTTTTCTTAGATTCCAGAAAAGACGTAATACCAGTTTTCAGAAACCATTACATCATTATCAATCATTTTTCATTATTTAATTTGTTCTCATCTATCAGTATTATTTTTTAGTCATTTACAACTTAAGTATGTTATGTTCTGATAGCTTGTCTTTGAAGTGATCTGCTGCAGGCAAAGTCTTTAAATTCTTTGCCTACCCAAAGAGTTAAAAAGACCAACCCAGGAAAGCTTTTGATGTTTTGTTGTCATTCTTGTTTGTGTTTAAATAGTTGCTGTTGTATTATTACTGACGTTTTTATATAAGAACTATAGGGACTGTGAATAAAAATTGAGAGCCAAGATAGAGATATAATGAAGAACCATTTAAAAGTTGATATAATCAGATTATCCAGAATAGTAGAAATAAAACAGATAGCATGTAAAATGTGTATCAGGAAGAATGTTAGGTGAGGTGGAAGAAAAATGTAGAGTTACATCATAGCTACACACTACACTGTGCTACAGGTCAAATTCAGAATGGCAACAATGTGTACCACATTTCAGCCTAGATCCTTGAGAGGAATCTGGATTTTCTTTTTGAAAAAGTTATTGTTAATGATCTAACAACTGACTAGTTTGGGTCAAATTAACTTGAAATTAGTCATCCAATATTGCTCTCACTACAATTTAACCACCCTTGTGATTTGAGAAGAGGATGAAATATACTAATAGGACCATATTCCTATAATTTGAACATTTCTGAGCTATTAAAATGTCTTTGTGATTTTCATAACTGTTGTCCATTGTTTGAGGATGTTACCTGTTAAACTAAAAATATTCATTCCATATCTACCACATATACACCAGCAATGGTATAAATATAAGCCTAAATTTGCAAACTTCATACCTTAGTGATGGGATTTTTTAAATAACATGCAGTGTGTAAATGTGTAGAATTTATGAAAATGTTGACAAAATCATTTTTCAGCTTGCAAAATGGAACTGCAATCTATACTTTTCACTTAAGTAATTTTTTACATCTATGTTGTTGCTTTCTAAATGAATGTGAATGCCATCTTTTATGAATGCAACTTGCCTTTTTCATTACAGAAATTTTTGTTTGATGTAATCAATAAACTTTGGTATGATATGATGGATATTTAAGCCTCTTTTTTTGGAAGATTTGAATTTGACATCAAAATAATATGAAAGCAATTTGGGGATGGGAAATAAGATTCTAATTTTCTCTTTGCCTATATAGTTCACATAAGGTGGACTTCCTACGTGAATTCAAGTGATTTTTGGAGGTTAAAATGTCTGTGGGAGTTTTTTGTTCATTTGTAAGGTTGTGTGTTGTTATTTCAAAAAAAAAATCAAGCCAGGGGACTTTGGTGCTTAGTGGTAGGGCACATATTAGCAAGGTCCTAAGTTGAATCCCTAGCACTTAAATAAAATTAAAAAGATCCATAAAGGCTAAGGTGTGCTTTCCCATGCACATACTGGTGGCCACATTGGAAGGACTGTGATGTGTATATGTGTCTAAAAATCTTCAATTCTGCTGGGTACTGGGTCGAAAAATTGTTTCTCAAGAACATTTTTTTTTCAGGTATTCCAGATCCTCTGAACTTTGCAATGGCATCATCAAGATACTGTCCCTCACAGGAACAGTGCCAGGTGCCAGTGGCTCACTACTATAATCCAATAATCCTAACTACTCAGATCTGAGGATCCAGGTTTGAGGCCAGGCTGGGAAGAAAAGACCCTGAGACTCATACGTGCAATTACCCATACACAAAAAAGCCACAAGTATAGCTGTGGTTCAAGTGGTAAGAACATTAGTCTTGAACAAAAAACTCAGGGACAGCACCTAGGACCACACACAAAAAAATGAGGTTATGTAGACAGACTAGTAGAGCCAGATCTAGAATCCAGGTATTCTCGCTAGTGTCTTTGCTCTTAACACTGTATTCCTGTCGTTATATGAATAAAGAAAGCACCAAAATATTAGCCATGTGAAAACACCAGAATTGTAGTGCATTCTGTACAACAAAGTTATTATCAAAATGATCAAGATCATGAAAGACCAAGACTGGTGAACTATGCCAGATGAAGGACATAAAGAGGACATGACAGCTGTGCAGCATGGGATCTTAAGTGAGCCCTAGAGTAGAAATGGACATTAATGGGATAATTAGCAAAGTTTCATTATAGTATATAGATTATGTTTGAAGTCACCCTGGTAATATAATAGTATATTTGGGTGAAGTTGAGTAAACATTAATATGTGTTCTATTTTTACTTTAAGTCGGAAGCTTTCACAATTATAAACCAGAAAAATAAAGTTGTTTAAGGAAGCATAGAATATTAGTGGGAAAGAATATTACCCTAGACACAGAGGACTAAATTACAGGTAGGACACTAGTGTAAGCCTCCTTAGGAATCTCAGATCTGAGGATTGCAGTTTGAAGCCAGCCTGGGCAGGAAAGGATGTAAGACTCATCTCCAGGGCTGGGAAGGTGGCTCAGTGGTAGAGCACTTGCCTTGCATGCCTGAGGCCCTGGATTCGATTCCTCAGCACCACATAAGCAAAAAGAAAAAAAGCCGAAAGTGGCACTGTGGCTCAGGTGGCAGAGCGCTAGCCTTGAGCTGAAGAGGTGAGGGATAGTGTCCAGACCCAGAGTTCAGGCCCCACGACCGGACCAAAAAAAAAAAAAGACTCATCTCCAATTAACCACCAAAGAGCCAGAAGTGGAGCTGTGGCTCTAGTGGTAGAGCATTAACCTTAAGAGAGAAAGCTCAGAGAGCAGTACCTAGACTCTTGAGTTCAAGCCCAAGTCTGCTTACATACACACCTGAAAGATAAAAGTATCAGAGTCAAGGATGTATGCAGTAGAGTTCACCAGAATATGTTTTTAGGAAAATCTCTACTTTTCCAATAATTAAACTCGTGAGCTACCAGAGGACAGATGGCACTGCTATTTTAAACATAACCTTTAAGGATGAACATGTACTATTGAAAACTAAATTTACTCTTCATTTTAATTGAATAGTACTATTAGTTAATAGATAGAGCTAATGTGATGGACTCATTCTTTTAAATAAAGTGAGAATACATCTTGTGACAAAAATATTAGTCATACAAGGTTAATTTATACAGTTTGTCAATATTTTTGGAAGCTTTTGAAAGGCCTTTTCATGACATTTAAATTAACTGTTTGGAACTAGAAAGAAATGACAGATTTTTGTTTTCTGTCCATATTTTAAAGTTGGTCTGTATAAAATTTGGATGGTTGTTGATACATTTTTGTCAGTCACCAATGTGCTATCATATATGATCCTGTTGACGTTTGACAAATTTAGTATTCCTCTCCCTAAGATCCTACTTT